AAGGTAGAGGAGGATACAGGGGAAAAAGGAGGGGGAAGGAGAACACAAAATGTACTGTCATCCATTCTGTTCATGTTGCAATATCAAGTTGACTTTTCGCCTTTCTACAATTTGCCCTCCAGGTTTCAACTTACAGCTACTTCTTAGTTTAATTCTATGTTATTCAAGCACTATCTGGTGACTCAAGCCATTTATGTAATAAATCCCATCGTTCAGTTGCCTTTTGTATTGGACAGTCTTTCAACACTTCTGATAGAATATCCATTTCTGCTGCTTCCCATATCTTCGCAATGAGTTCCTCTTGTTTCGGTATCTCTGATTTCTTCTAATTCTTAGCATAAAGAATTCTAGCTGCAGTGACTATATATATAGGTAGTTCTTTGTCTTATCTATATTATCTGGTATAATGCTCAGTAAAAACAATTCTGGGGTTAGTGGGACATTACAAAGCAGCAAAGCTTTTCAGCAAAGCTTTGATGTCTTCTGGGGGTCATGGCTTGACGAGGTCGAACAGTTCTGCTACAACTTGTGAATTTAGGCTGAGCACCGCACCCTAGAGTCGGACACAACTGGACTAAATGTCAAGGGCAAACTTTACCTTTACTAAATAGAGAAGGCATGAACTGCTGGTTTGTTTTTTAGTTGAACAGGTGTTTGGTGCTTCCCAGCCTGCCTCCTCCAACAGAGGCCCACTCCAGCTTCACCTCTCCTTGTCCACGCACTGCCTCTGGGTGACAAAACACCTCTTCGGGTGACAAAACACCAAACTTGCAGTTCATGCCCATCTCTAGTTATAAATTATATTACATCATTCTAAATTGCACATTGCTTTATGTTACTTAGTTGGTACAGCGGCACATTGCTCTCCTATTACAGTGATTCCAAACCTAGGGTATCCCAAGCATTCTTGGACTGTAATTCCCAGAAGCCTTCACCACCAACTAGGAGTTGCAGTCAAAGAACACCTGGGTTACCCAAGGTTGTAAAATTACTGTCCTTCACTGACACTGGCCTTCGGTGAACAGCTTCACTGAAAGCCACTCTGTTTCCAGGGCCAGTTCAAAGTACAGTACAGGTTATGACCTATAAAACCTTACATGGCTTGGGTCCATCTTATTTGAAGGACTGTATCATCCCATATGAACTTCCTCAGCTTTTAAGATCTTCTGAGGAGGCCCTTCTGTCAGTCCTACAAGGCTCATAAGCTTCTTTGGTGAGGACATAAGAGAAAGACATTTATATGGCTGCTCTCAGTTTATGGAATGAACTTCCCTAAGAAGCCAGATTGCCTCTCCCCTTGCCTTCCACTGGCAGTAAAGACTTTGAGCAAGTGAAGATTTTAGGAATGCAGCATTTATTGAACTTCTTAGGGGTTTGTGTGTGTGTGTGTGTGTGTGTGTGTAATAGTTTTGAAAGTGTTTTAAAGGTGGTTTTTAATATTGTTATTATCTAATTGTGTATTTTAATATAATAAAAAAGGTAAAGGTTCCCCCTGACAATTTTTGTCCAGTCGTGTTCGACTCTAGGGGGCGGTGCTCATCCCCGTTTCCAAGCCATAGAGCCAGCGTTTGTCCAAAGACAATCTTCTGTGGTCACATGGCCAGTGCGACTTAGACGCGGAATGCTGTTACCTTCCCACTGAGGTGGTCCCTACTGATCTACTTGCATTTGCATGCTTTCGAACCGCTAGGTTGGCGGGAGCTGGGACAAGCGATAGGCGCTCACTCCGTCGTGTGGATTCGATCTTACGACTGCTTGGTCTTCTGACCCTGCAGCACAGGCTTCTGCGGTTTAGCCCACAGCGCCACCACGTCCCTCTTTTAATATAATAGCTTATGGTTTTTAACTTGTTTTAACTGATTATAAGCCACGCTGAATCCCCTAAGAGAAGGGCAACATATAAATATTTTCTTTTTACTTTCTGCAACCCATCCTGAGATCGTCTAATACACAGTAGGGTATATAAATGCGGTTTAGGTGAAATAATAAATGTATGTATGTATATATGTATGTATGTTATATGATGCTGGCTGGATCACTCACGCAATGGGGTTACTGGATGCAGGGCCACAGGCTGGGTCTGGGAGAATAACTACCTGCTATTCCTCCCAAGAGTCATAATGACCTTGGGCAAGTTGCTCAGTCCCAGTTCTGAGTACTCCAATTAGAAAACTTTGGAATGTGTCACTGTCAGTCAAAATTTACTTGATAGCACACAATTGCTATTTACAGGCATCCAAGCCAAACAGTAGGAGGGTGAAATTCTTGTATCCGGTATTGAACTGTGATTGCACCATAAGGCAGGGGGTTGCTTCAAAAGCTCAAGTTTCCTGCTGAAATATAAACTGATGAACAAACAAGCAGATAGGGCTTGATTGAGGTAATTTATTGTAGAGTGCTGCAAATAAGACAATCTAATAATTAAGCATCAAAGCAGGTGTCTGCAGCAATCAGAAGAGATCAAGGAGTATGCACATTATTTCTCCCAACAATACTTCATGGAGAAGATGCAGGTAGAGTAGGTGCAATACCCTCTACACGAGGGACCAATTATCTCATTTAATTAAGATCAGAGAGTGTGGAAACAATGAATAACTCATTTTCAAAAGAAATCCTTGAAAGCTTCATTATTCAAGAAGGACCTCATTGAATAATATTGGTCTATGTTCTGTTCCATGCTAGTAACATCATGCTTTTAAAGTATATTTTAGTGTTTTCACAGATTTTTTTTAAAATTGGATATTCAAATATGTTAAAGTTGCAATAAGAAATATACATGAGGGTAGGAACACACAGTTGGCCTCTGAACATTTTGGAAAGTGGCAGTAATGATGACAGGTCCATGAAATTTAAGCCTCAGCAACTAGATCTGCATATACTGTACATTTACAGGTAGGTTACTTATTGCAGTCCTTGGGAGTGAGTGACCCTCCAGATGTAAGGAATTCCTGTTAGCCCTTGCTAGAAGCCATGCTGAGTAGAGCTGAAATCCAATGAAAACCACACATTCCCTGTCCCCAGTTTTATAAGTAATGCTATGTTTTTTCCTTGACAAGGAAGAACACATTGGCTCAAATCCACTAGTAAGTTACATATAGAGTTAGGCCCATTAAAATAAAAATTGATTACAGGGTGTTTCACAGTAGTACTCAAGCGAAGTTTCAGTGACCTTAGGAGGTGCTGTTCTGCCTCAGGCAGAGAAGGTGACTCAACAAATCCTCACTGAATCAATGGCCTACTCTAGTTGCAACTATCTATCTGTTTCAACCAGTGTAACTTCTATGGCACCAAACCTATATTGGCCCCATTTGTATTCTATTCTAAATATTACTACCACCACCATTTCCCTATGGAGACAGGTAAATAGAGTGGTGGATTCTGGAAGCACAAAGCAGAGACAAAACTTACAGGGCAAGACAGAACCATTAGTTCTCCAGAAATTTTGGACCTCTATTCCCACAAGCCATTGGTGAAGCTGGTGGGTCAAATGGCAGTTGTCAGCCCAAATAATTGGTGGTCAAATTGTTCCCCGTCACTGATTTATAATGAGACTTGTGCATTTAAAAGGGCTTTGGTGCAGTTACATTTTGTATATAATATTTATTTATATATTTGTTTGTTTGTTTGTTTAATATCCCACCTATCTGGTCTTATGACCACTCTAATAATGAGAAGAACAATCAGTAGTGTTTTGAAATACAGGTGGTTATCCTCCAATTATCCCTTAATATAGCCATTGTGTTGTTGGACATTAGGTTCATGCCTTTATCAAGCTCTAGCTATTCAGCTGTTTGATTAATTTTGCTATTTGAAATGTCAAGGTTTGGTCCTACCACATGCTGTCTGTAGAGCAACTCTGCCTATGGCAAGCTGGCTGCGTGATGTCTCCAGTATCATAGACTGACTTTCGTCTTTTCAGATGCCACTACAAACTACCCTGATACTGCACTCCTATGTATATCAATTCAGAAAGAAGTTCCATTGACTTAAATGCTGTTTACTCCCAGGTTCAGCATTCATAGGCTTTCAACCCAAATGCTGGTTCTTCATGTTATGTAAAAAGCCAACATTAACAGCTAGATAGGAATGGCCAACATGAGATGCCTTTATTTTCATAGGAGAAAATATGTACCTAAGCCAAGACATGTACATAAATTCTCACATTAGAGAGAACAGGAAGCCAAGACATGTACATAAATTCTCACATTAGAGAGAACACGCGTTTAAAACTGTATAAATTTCAATGTGTGAAGGGGAAACAAAATCATTCAACACCGTAAGAGGGAAGTTCAGGAGGATAATGCAGGGGGTTGGGGAAAACAACAGAATTGAGACTGAAAGGGTTCACAAAGCTAACTTAGATGCTACAGTGCATTAAAACTGATTCCAGGGTGTTTCACAGTAATACTTGAGCAAAGTTTCAGTGACTCTAGGAACTGCAGTTCTGCCTCAGGCAATGAAACACCTTGGGCAGCCTTGTGAGCCAGTTCCATAACTAAGAAGTACTGCAGGACGAAATGAACACCATGAAAAAGGATTTATACAGTACATATAATAGTTGTTGATACTTAAAATGTCTCAAAAAATTAGCAGGTCAGCCAAAAATGCCCACTCAGTAGAGGAGAGTTTTATTTATGATATTTCAACTTTCAGTTCTATTTTTTCCCCTCATATTAAAACTCCATGCCCACCCTTTCTCTCCTCTCCCCTATTGTTTGTACCATCTTGTTGAAATGTCTTCCGTTATGTAAAAATCGTTTTTATATATATCCTTATTGTGTATTTTTTGTTGTAAGCCGCCTGGAGTGGTCTTAACCGACTAGATAGGCGGGATATAAATAAAATAAATAAATAAAATAAATAAATAACAACATGGCTGAAATCTTCCGCTGCTACTGTTTCTTGCTGTCAAAGTCAAGGCCAGTGTGAACACTTGCACAATGGATTTTTAAAACAACAACAAAAAAAAAAAACAGGATTTGCATTCAGCTGTCAGTTACCTCATTTATAATGATCCAGTGGCAGTCAAAAGCAACCAAATTGGCTTCCACGACCTGAAACAGAAAACAAACCAGTCATCAGTCACCTTACCTATGTGAAAGCCAATGACCATTACATAGATGCTTCCCACAAATGACCAGGTAGAAGGACGATAATTAAGAGTCAAAAATAAAAAGCACCAGCGCTGTGAAGACCTTCCATTAAGACAGAAGACACTTTTGTGTCAGATGCTTTCAACTTTATTGTTTGGCTTGCTAATTAAGCACAAAGTGGGCTTCCAGCGCTGTGGAGGAGAAAAGGTCCCTTTGCATTCGTACATGCAATGAATGAGTTCTTATTTAAGGTTTGATGTTTTGGAAGCTATAACTAGTCCAACGAACTATGGATGTGTGAGAGCTCCCCACCCCACATGATTCTATATTCCTCTCTTCCTCTCCCTTATTTCTTCAATGGTTTCACTCATGTTTAGAGATCAGCATGAATTGCTATTTTGGCACTTCATGCTGATTTGTTTATTGACGGAACAGGTGTTTGGCGCTTCAAAGCTCCACCTCCTTTGGCAGTCCCCAATCAGAGGCCACACTTGGAGGAGGCAGAGCAAGGAAGCCAGGCCACTGCCTCTGATTGGGTGCCCACTGGAGGAGGTGGGGCTTTCAAAGGCAAAATACCTGTTCAGCTGATAAGCAAACTGGCATGAACTGCTGAACGAGCAATTCATGCTCAACTCTACTCGTGTTTATTTGTGCCCAATATGGATATATATATCTATTTAAATGGCACAGAAATTCCCCGGCTAGTGTAGCACAAAGGTGGGAAAGCCACCAGCGTGTATAATAAATCACACACTTTATGTTTGCCTCATTTGATGAGAAATGATGGAAAAATATAAGAATTTCACCATCCTTCGCTCTAGTTCCCGTCATCCAGCTCATTATAAAAATAACAGGAATAATTTGACACAGACACAAGATTTTCCTTGATGGGCTGTTATTAGGAACAAGCTTACACATTCATTATTATATTAAAAGAGCTATAAAAAATCCAAAGCCAATGCTAACACAGCCCAGATCCAATTATCTGTCAGTAGAGCAGTCATTACTTGGACAAGACGTGCCTTTTACATTTCTGACCTAATGTTCCACATTGCCCTTGTCTCTCCCCTGAGCTTGCAGTTTTCTTCACTCCGGTAGGCCCCTGCAACATCATCAGAGACACAGGAGAGCAAGTGGGATTACACTAATGAATGGAAAGGGGTTGCTGAGGTAGCACAGAACATTTCAACACTGCTAAACTCTCAAGAGTAATTTGCATGAGGGGAGCACAAATGTGAAGCTGGTGTAAGAGTATCCATGATGGAATTTTTGCCCAGGAGGAAGGAAAGAAATCAATTAAATGGTCCAAATCCACCATGTCTGTCTTCCAAACAGCAGTGCAAGTCTGCTATACAAGACTGTCATAAAGGATCTGGCTGCCTGAAGTACAGTAAGCAACAGGACAATGCTCCAGTCTTATCTTCAAAAATAAATTGACAATGGATTTTACTTCCACCTGGTGATGGAATAGCATTTTCCTCAGCAACTGAAGGATAGGAATAATTTATGACAGCCAGGATACATTGGAGGGGGGCAGAGGGTAATGGCGTGGGCCTCAAAAGGAGTGGTTGTTGTCCTGTTGCACCACAGCATCTGACACTTGGGGCAGTTTTCTAACTCTGTCTAATGGCAGAGCTGCCTTTATTGCTATCAGTTTGGAAGACAGTAAGACAGACACTTTTGTGGCACTCCTACAAAATGATTGCTTTCTCGGAGCAAATGAACAGTCTCTTTCCATTCTAAGCATGGTGCTCAGTAGTAGCATTAGTGATGATACCGCTGGTGGTGATGAGACTGCGCAACACAAGATCACTACATACGATTAGTATTTAGATTTATGTAAGCATCTCATTAATCTGCACATTTCTGACTAGTAGACCAATTTTGTCCTTGTTTCCACAATGAAAATGAATTATGTCATAGTGAATATAATCCTCGGGTTGCTGCTTTCAGACATACAATGGGACTTCAACCAACCAGGTTAATGCCCTTAGGATTGCAGATCAAGCCATTTTTAATTTAGTTTTTATTATTTCTTCTGCACCTTCGTCTTTCTTCTTTGAAGGACTGCTGCACTTACATTTGTTAATTTGTAATTTATCCTTCTTCTGTCTAATGATCCTAGAGTATCAGGAATACTTTTCCACTTCCCATTTTAGCTGCAAAGCCACCAACTTCTATTCAAAGCTGATGGACCTTAGGGCCCAAAGTCAACTACAGTGGTGCCTCGCTTAACAATTGCCTCATTAAACGACGAAACCACTATACGAGGAATGTGTTTTGATCACTTTTGAAATTGCAAAATGATGTTTTAATAGGTAAAATCCGCTTTGCAATGATTGGTTCCCTGCTTTGGGAACCAATTTTTCGCACTACAATGTTTTTAAAACAGCTGATCGGTGGCTTCAAAATGGCCGCCCGCTGTGTAAAATGGCTCCCCGCTGTGTTTTTGGATGGATTCCTTGCTTTACAGGCACCAAAAATGGCCACCCCTATGGAGGATCTTCGCTGGACAGTGAGTTTTTCAGCCCATTGGAATGCATTGAACGGGTTTTCAATGCATTTCATTGGGATTTTTTATTTCCCTTAACGAGGATTTTGCTCTACAGCAATTTCACTGGACCGGATTATCTTCGTTAAGCGAGGCACCACTGTAATGATTTTTCACAGCTGAGCAAAGATTCAAAGCTTTGGCTCAGCACAGCTCTCTGTCCACTATACCATAATGTTGAAGTGGCATTCAAAAGTGAAGTGATGTCTAAGTTGTGAACCTCCTGGTTCATAACTCCCACTTAGACATTGCCCTGTTTCTCTCTGTGTCATCATTGTAAACTGTGAAAGCCCATGGGTTTTTCAAGTTAATTAAGTTTCGCAGCAGGAAGCCATTCTAGCATTCCAGTTTTTGGCAATTCCACAAATAATCCCGAACACAAAGGATCCTTCAAGAAGTCAAACAGAATCAGTAATGGAACTGTGACCTACCTTCAAAAGCTCTCAGGATAAGTCATCTTCCTAGTGTAAAACTTACAGCTCACTCTTCACAAATACGTTGCAAGAGAAGCACCTCTTGGCCCTATCTTGCAGTATATTCTACGAACTGGTATGCAAGAAGTAATCAATTGCACCATATTTAGCTATAGTTGCCAATAAAAGATACTTGTGAACTATGACAACTTGCTGCAGGCACATAAAAAACAGATATTTCCTCAGCAGTATATGTACCACTGCCTCCTCCTTCAACCCTGCAACATTGCTGGACAGAGTACACACATGCATGAAACCTCATAAGGAACACTGACAGAATTGCCAAGCTATTTTCTCGAAGCTCCCAAGGACCTTCTGGATAGCTCTGATCTTGGAAGAAACCTGTACTGATTTTACACAAGACAAATGGATCTATAAGACTTGAATTCTGTTTCCTTTTACCTGTCCATCTCAGCGGCAGCCCAAAATATATGCTATATCCACTATTTGGAGGTTGCACATTTTTTTTAATTGGAAGTGTTCTATAGCTCATGGCAAGCTCCAGTCTTTCAGATTTAATATGATGAAGTTCATTTTAAATGATTCGTCCTTGAGCCCTCATGTAACAGAGAAGAATATTATCTTATTTATTTACCGTAATTGAGCTACACACTATATTTTTCCCAAATATGAGACTCAAAGAGTAATGTTTTTTTAAAAAAACTTAATTATTTATAATTTTTAAAAATCCAGTCAAAACAGCATAACAGAACAATACCTATTGTATCACAATAATAGTAAATGTCTTATTCATAAACTCTTTTACCTTCATATATACAAACTGTTTACATTTTCTCTTTATCTTTTCACATAGTCTCTTCCTTGACTCATTATTGCATTCTTATGTATAGCTAATGCCATATTAGCTAATGCCATTGATATTAAGTAAAAGAAGAACATAATTTAAACACCCAAACCTATCTATACAATATTTCCAGAAAGGAACTCAGACCTTTGACAGGATAGGGATGGGTAGACACTAGAAGGATCTGTTTGACAATAATGAAGTCATGCAATAATTCCGTGAGGCAGAGGTGGAGCTATAGCGCTAAAGCCACTGCGTACATGCAGAATAGAAAATACAGAGCAAAACAGATATTCGATGCTGGAAGTTATTGACATTTACATACTCCACTTATTGGTCTCACCCGGAACATTAACTGCAAAGTCCAAATTTAGCTACCATATTTGATGACATAAGGGCAAATCAGTTTAATCCAGTGCAGGTCTGTGTGTGTCATAAACAGAACCTAAAGGAGTCAGTCCTATCACTATAACCACCATGAACAGATAGGACTTTTCTTTCTTTCTTTCTTTCTTTCTTTCTTTCTTTCTTTCTTTCTTTCTTTCTTTCTTTCTTTCTTTCTTTCTTTCTTTCTTTCTTTCTTTCTTTCTTTTTCTTTCTTTGATTTACAACATTAATGTAGAACCAGCCAAATAGCATCTTCTTTGCAAAAGCCCCAATAGAGTCTTAAGTCAATCACACGGCAGGGTGAAGAAATGTGTAGTGTACATGTCAGACCACTGGCTGATTGGTGGCCCTGCAGGGAGGATGTAGTAGGGGATACTTCAACTAGACAGGAGTAAATAATGGTGTAAAGAATTACTGCTAAAATATTTATTCTCATCCTCTTTCTTGTCCAGAGTCTCCCAAAATACCTCACCATCAAGTAGCTGTGGTTCTTCATCCTCATGGGTGGTAATGGGACAAGTAAAGATTTATACCCCTAATGGAGAACATGGAAGATTAAAGACACTATTGACATTGTTTACAGTTCAGAAAAAGTCATGCTGTTGTTTCTTGATATACAGTTTTGAAATGTGGCTGAGCCACCCCAGGAACAAGCCATGCTTTGTTAATAAACCATTAAATAATATTAAAACCAAGGTTCGTTGTTGACTTGCAAACTTTGAGTTGTATCAGTCAAGGCTTAACT